AGAAAATAAGAGTGCGTGGGCACTGGGGGTGGGGATAGAGGGAGAGACTCTCACGCAGACTCCCCACTGAGCACAGAGCCCTGACACAGGGCTCGATCTCATGACCCTGAGATCATGACTTGAGTCGAAATCAAGAGTCAGAGGCTTAACCGACCGAGCCACCCAGGTGCCCTTAAAACCTAACTCCCTAACTCTCAGGCTTGCAAGGTCTTACATAAGCCCCACCCAGCTCTCTGACCTCATTTAGTACTATCTAACCCCTAGCCCATTACACGTACAATAAGCTAGCCTTTTTTCTATTTTTGGAACACCCCAGGTACATCCTTACCTTAGGGCTTTTGTACTTCCCTTTACTGGAAACTTTTCTTATCCTTGGTTCTTCTGGATGGTTTGTTGTTTCATATCATTGAGGTTTCAGTTTAAATGTTCCATCCACTGATGTTTTTGTCCATCTAATTTAAATTTACCCCTAGGATACCTTTCACATAAATTATGACATTTTACTGTCTTTACAGAGCTTTCAGTGTCTGAAATCTTGCTCTTCTTTGACTTTTGTTTGTTTTATTGTCTGTCTCCCCTCCAAAGTGAACTCCTTGAGAGCTGGCCTGTGTACGGCTATATTCCTGCAGAGACAAAGAGGTATAGAACAGGGCTTGATACTTAGTAGGTCCTTAGTAGATATTTAGAGCATGACTGAGTGAGTGTATTTTGTTAGCAGTTGTAAGTATTTTAATATTAATGGAGTGTGTTTGGATTAATAGGATATGTTTGGGTAGCTCAGTGAATAGTGTTAAAAAGGTAGACAGGAGCCTTTATGACTTAGGAAGGCCTTGGTGGTCCATGCTAATGAGCCATACTCCACAGTTGAAGCAGGGTCATTAAATACCTGTGAGGATATTTGTCACAGCTGATTTTGTGATTTATGAAGATTCCATTGACGGCCCAGTGGAGAAAAGTACTGGAGGAGAGGAAGAATGAAAACAGACTACTTAAGGGTTCATTGCAATATGAACTTCAAACAGTTGCTGGGGGACTGGATTGGTGGGAACAAATTGAAAAGGTTGAGAGATGGGTTGTATAGGGATTGATGACCAGTTGTGAGAGATGAGGGAGAGAAATGGGTGAAGAATGAGTACTGAATTTTTGACTGAGTGATTGAGAATTTGATTTTGGACATTTTAAGTTAAGGAGGTCTTTAGAACATGTAGATTTGTAGGATTCAAGTGCCTAGGAGTTGACATTAAAGTGCAGGCAGTCTGCTTTAAGTAGGAGAAAAATGTCAGTAAAATAATTCACTGTGAACATTAAAGTACTTGGTTTTTATTCTTCTCCAAATAGCTACAGAGGTGTAGGTGTGAGTGGGCCCACTTTTTTTTTTTTTTTTAACAGAACTTAGAATCCTCTTTAGGAGTAGGCAAGTTCGATTTTGAACAGGATAATTTGGCTGAAAATTTTAGAGGACTAGCTGTCATGCCAATAAAAGAATCCCGATATATTTGGAGTAGAACTTCTTCATGATAAGGTCATCAGAAAATTATAAAGTATGCCACCATATAACAGAGGTCCCTTATTAGAAGGGTCTTCTCTTTCCTTTTTTTTTTTTTTTTTAAGATTTATTTATTTGAGAGCATGCACGAGCAAGCAGGGGGAGGGGCAGAGGGAGAAAGAAAGAGCGAGAATCTCAGGCAGACTCCCTGCTGAGTGCAGAGCGTGATGCGAGGTTCCATCCCTTGACCCTGAGCTCATGACCTGAGCTGAAATCAAGATTCAGACACTTAACTGTCTGAGCCACCCGAGTTCCCTCGATGGTTATTTTCTATCACTCTATTAAATGTTTCAGGATTGCGGATTGGAATTTTGGAATTACAGGTAATTTTTTTCTCTTCCTTTTGTTAATTTGTGTCTACTAAAGTTTCTATAATAACCATATTGTATTTGTAAAATGAATGAATGAATTTATGTATGTATGTATGTTTCAGGATTGTCTAAATAGAATTTTAGTTTTAGTACATTCAATGCTGAATTCTCTAGGTAATAATTAGCTACATTTAATTGTGGCAAGTAAGAAAGCAAAGGCTTATGCTAAGAGCTCAGACTCTGGAGTCAATGCAAAGTGGCCACTTCCTAAATATGTGGCCATGAGAAAGGTACTTAACTTCTTTTAGTTTATCTCTAAAGTGAAGATAATTACATTAAATTCTCTTTAGGTTTGAGAATAAAAATTAGATATGTATTAAGTGTTAAAATAGTTATGCCTAATATTTTAGAGGTATTGGCTCAGGTCATGATCCCAGGGTCCTGGGATTGACCCCTGCATCGTGCTCCCTACTCTTTGGCCTACCGTTTTCTATAACATCTTCAATTTATAATCAAATGCTTTTTTCACTTGAAGAATGTATACTGTTACGAATTTCAACTAAAGAGAGTTGTGATCTACATCAAGTAGGGACCACATGCTGTAGAAATTCATGTGTCACATGCCTTTCTTGGACTTCAGTAGCAATTTTGCTTCTCCATCCTTGTGGAAGTTACTGCAAAGTTAATGATATCCTCGGTGCCTAGGATATTGTTATATGCTCAGAAAATATGTGTTAAATGAACTGTATCTTTTATGTAATAGACCAGTCTCCTTTTAGTCTATTATAATTTAAATGTGCGTGGATATGTGTTTATTTTAAAAGAACAGGTTCCTTGTTATAAAACTGAGGTTAGTTTGTATGACTTTATTATCTATGTTATAAGCAAAGCAGTGGATGAGTATAGAAGGAAAAGGAGGCATAACAAATTGTTTACAGTGGCAATATTTAGGGACATGGGATTACTAGGATGTCTTTTCATTTATATGAGAACAAAGGTATATGTATTTCTTTTTGTATACTTACATTCAGCTTACTTTTTAGCAGAGTGTGTAAAACTTAACCATTGCGTGTATTTTTTTTTTCCTCTAATGTGTAATTGCATTTTGTTTTATTTTAGGTTCTTTTCCTGGCTTCCTAAAATTCTTTTATTTATTTATTTATTTTATTTTATTTTATTTTTTAAGGAAGGCAAGTCTTGCTCTGATTCGAAAAATGATTCATTTTTGCTCTGAAGCACTCTTAAAAGAAGTTTGTGATTCTGATGTTGGTCACAATTTGCCTACAGTACTAGTGGAAATCACTGCAACCGTCCTTGATCAAGAGGTCAGATTTTTATCTTTTTTGAAACTCCTGTAGCTTTAATTCCCTTTAGACAATGGTTAGTAAAATAATTTAATTTTTGTCCTAATTTCAGTGAAGCGTTTTGTCTGTGAAATTACTGCATTTGTCTACTTCAGGCAGTTGAACTTATTTTTATCATTTTCCCTTAAATTCCTTTTTGTTTTCCCCCAGGATGATGATGATGGCCACTTGCTGGCTTTGCAGATCATAAGAGATTTGGTAGATAAAGGTGGTGATATTTTTTTGGATCAGCTAGCCAGACTTGGTGTAATTAGCAAAGTGTCAACTTTAGCAGGACCTTCCTCTGATGATGAGAATGAAGAGGAATCAAAACCAGAAAAAGTGAGTGATGTTGATTGCAGTGTTATCAGGAATAGAGTTTCTTGGGGCGCCTGGGTGGCTCAGTCGTTAAGCATCTGCCTTTGGCTCAGATCATGATCCTAGAGTCCTGGGATCGAGCCCCACATTGGGCTCCCTGCTCAGTGGGAAGCCTGCTTCTCCCTCTCCCACTCTCCCTGCTTGTGTTCCCTCTCTTGCTGTGTCTCTCTCAAATAAAATCTTTAAAAAAAAAAAAAAGGAATAGAGTTTCTTTTGAGGAAATCTAGTTATAACTTAATGATGGTTTTTGATAAAATAATGGCAGTATGAGGTAGCACTATAATTTTTAAAAATTTGGTTACTTATTTTAAGATTTTATTTATTAATTTTAGAGAAAGAATGTGAGCAGGGTGAGGGGCAAAGGGAGAGGGAGAGAGAGAATCTCAAGCCAATTCTGTGCTGAGCACGGAGCCCGGTGTCGGGCTCGATCCTACAACTCTGAGGTTGTGACCCGAGCCGAAACCAAGAGTTGGGCACTTAATCGACTGATCCATGCAGGCACCCCCAAAATTTCATTACTTTTTAAAAATTTATTGATAAAATTTAAAGCTTATAGAAAAATTGCAAATAGAGTATCAGAGTATTCTTCATAAATTCACTAATTATTAACGTTGTGTATGTGTATTTTTAAGAAACATTTATTTGAGGGGCACCTGACTGGCTCATTTGGTAGAGCATACAACTCTTGATCTTGGGGTTGTGAGTTTTAGCCCCATGTTGGTTGTAGAGATTACTTAAAAATAAAATCTTCAAGGGGCCCCTGGGTGGCTTTGTCATTTAAGTGTCTGACTTGATCTCAGCTCAGGTTGTGAGTTCAAACCCCATGCTGGGCTCCACACTGGGCCTGGAGTCTACTTAAAAAAACAAAAAAAAACAATGAAATATTATTATTATCTTTTAAAGGTTTTATTTATTTGTAGAAAGAGAGAGCACAAGCAGGGAAGCGGCAGGCAGAGGGAGAAGCAGACTCCCTACCGAGCAGGGAGCCTGATGCGCGACTCGATCCTAGGACCCTGGGATCATGATCTGAGCTGAAGGCAGATACCTGACCATCCAAGCCACCTAGGCACCCCAAAGTCAGAAAATTTAATATTTATATAATACTCTATCTCATTCAAAGACCGTATTCAAATTTGCTGTTGTCCTTAATACCATTCCCCCCCCCCCCAATCCAGAATCCAATCCAGGAGCATGTATTACATTTAGTTACCATTTAGTTATTATGTTTCTAAGAACTCAGCCTTTTTCTTTGATAGCCTTGGCATTTGTGAAGAGGACAGACCCGTTAATTTGGGCAGCAACCCTTACTTTGCATTTGTGTTTCTATGTGCTTAGATTCAGGTTACATGTTTTTAGCAGGAAGACTACAGAGGGGATGTTTTTCTAAGTGCATAATGTGCCTTCTTTTAGAGCCCCAGGGTGTCTGCTTTCTTACCGATGATGTTAACATGGATCACTTTGTTATATTTATCTCTGCCTGGTTTCTTTTTCTTTTTAATTATTTATTAGAGTGTGAGAGAGATTACGAGCAGGGGGAAGGTAGAGGGAGAAGCAAACTCCTCGCTGAGCAGAGAGCCCGACGTAGGGCTCAGTTCCAGGACCTTGCGATCATGACCTGAGCTGAAGGCAGATGCTTAACTGACTGAGCCACCCAGCTGCCATCTGCCTGGTTTCTTTATCATAGAGTTACTCTTTTTGCTTTTGTAATTAATAAGTAATTAATAAATAATAAGTAATACACTCTTACTCATTAAACATACACCCATGAGTTTCAGTATCCATTGATAATTCTTGCCTTAGATTGCAAATTTAAAATATACCTAATCTATCCCTACTTGTTTCTGCACTGATTTAGTCCTAAATTAGTGAATGTTTCCTATATATTAATGACAGAATGGTAATATTTTTGAGATAATGGTAGAGTATGGTTTGTTAATTATATAATCTTGAGAGGGTGAGTGGGGATGGGAAGAGAGAGAGATTATTTAAAAAAATTTTTTTTTAAGATTTATTTATTTGAGAGAAAGAGAGAAAGTGAGCACAAGTGGGAGGGGCAGAGGGAGAGAGAATCTGAAGCAGACTCTGCTGAGTGTAGAGCCCAACACAGGGCTCAGTCTCATGACTGAGATCACGACCTGAGTGGAAACCAAGTGTTGGACACTTTAACTGACTACACCACCCAGGCACCCCAGAGAGATACTCCTAAATTACTTGAGAGATCTGAGGGATTTAACCACAAAACAAAATAAGAGGTGATATCTGGGTTCATCCCCCTAGAATTCTTTTATTCAAGAAATAGGTTCAAAAACCATATGATTTCACTGATGTGTGGAATATAAGAAGTAAAACAAGCAGAGGGAAAAAAGAGAGACAAACCAAGAAACAGACATTTAACTATAAAGAACAAACTGATGATTATCAGAGGGGAAGTGGGGGGGGGAAGATGGGTAAAAGAGGTGTGGGGATTAAGTGCACTTGATGAGCACTGGGTGATGTGTACAAGTGTTAAATCACTGTATTGTACACCTGAAACTAATATTACACTGTGTGTTAACTGACTGGAATTTAAATAAAAACTTAAAAAATGTTACAGATCTACAGATCCCCAGCAAGTTTTTTTGTAGAAATTAACAAAATTCTAACATTCATATGAAAATTCTAGGGACCTAGAATAGCCAAAGCAACATTGAAAAGGAACAAGTTGAAGGACATCCACCAGCCGATTTGAAGTCTTATTATAAAGCCGTAGTAATCAGGGGCGCCTGGGTGGCTCAGATGGTTAAGCGTCTGCCTTCGGCTCAGGTCATGATCCCAGGGTCCTGGGATCGAGCCCCGCAT